TGAATAATAGCAGTGCTTTTAGAGCATGAAATCAAGCAGCTATGTGCAGCAAATCAACGTCAAAAACGACAAGCGAGAGATAACTAGATCCTATATTGGTACAGGGGGTATTTTGACTGCTGAAGAAGGTCAGCGGCTCGCTCAGCAAGCTGCAGAGCTGCAAGCAGAGGGGGTAGTGGAAGGTGATGAGCGGCCTAGGAAACGTGCACCACCGCGGTGCAGCAACTGCAATATTCAAGGTCATACTAGGGTAAGCTGCCCAAACAGATAGGCAATTATTTTATGTGTATATAGCTTCAATTTAGGGGCGTTGTGGTGAGATAACTAGATATTTAATATAATAGGCGTTGGTTACGTGGCCCGCTCGGTGTCCTGGCCCGCTCGGTGTCCGATTACGTTAACTAGTTAACTATCTGATTACTGATCAATAATCTTATATACCCAAATAGGCAGGTAAATGTCATAGAATTCGACGCCCACCGTAAATTTAGAATTCTTTCGTAGTAAAAGTTTTTAATTGTTGTCAAACTTATTCGACACGTCGATGATGGTTCGGCAACTGCATCCCAGCCGAATCCCCAAGATAAGCACTCCCCCAGATCTTCACAAGCTCCTTGCCGGTGCTGTCGGTGTTTTTTTTTCCAGTCGATTCCAGCCTAGTTGCTCCTAGAGAATGCAGACACTTCTGCGGTTGAGTTCAGGATAGTGTCGCAGATGATGGACAAAACCATAAAATGCCAACATGACTGTGTTGGCCAGTCGGGTGGTGGCAATACATCTACAACCCGATTTGTATTTGACAACGTCCAAAGTGGAAGAATCGTTGGGGAATAGGCCCGTAAATTTGAGGTTTAGAATAAAATTCCTGACACCGATCCCTTAAGATCTCCATCATCACCACCTCAAGATGTGAACGAAAACCCCTAAAAAAAATATATATTTCTAATCATTAAGAATATCTCGATCAACAAAAATATAGTTAATAATCATCAACATTTTTTTTCCCAACGTCTAGTTTAGGCTGTGAGTGCTTTTTTCTAGATCTGAGCTAAAAATTAATGGGTATAACGAAAATATATATAAGCCAGAATCAATACCACATTACCCTGGCATCATGTATCGGTATAGTACAGTCACTCAGTCCATCCCCTGCCCAAGATAAGGAAACGAAATCGTCTCCCTCTTCTCCATCATAGCCTCCAAGAAACTAGAGATCACCACATCGAGTCCAAATTGTCTCGCCCTCTTGAGCCATTCCGAGATAGGGACCTTTTCAAACTCGCACTGGTAAATTTGCTTCATGCGCAGACCGAGATCTCGCACAGGAACTTTGACCCCGCTGGTATGGTGGATAAACATGAGCGATGCAATCGATGGTGGAGATAACCGCATGGTCGGGAGGCCGGTCAACTCCCCACGGCGTTCAGGGCTGGTTAAAGCTGCCTTTACAATCCCACCGGCTACCTCTTGAACAGGATGGAAATCAAGGTAACCTTGGAAGTTTTCAAACTGCGGAACCGCGTGCATGAGCCGCGAAAACCTCAGTATGGCGTTTAGGGCATCCTCGCTCGGCGCCTTATCGCCTGTAACAGCGCAAGGACGATGGATGTGTACCTCCAGACTTGTTTCTTGAGCGACCTTTTCCAATATGCACTCGCTGGCCCATTTGGTAGCAGTAAATCCCTGAGATCCATCTGTTGGAGGGGTATAAGATGAAACAGATATCGGGGCCAACGCGGCGTGACCAGATAAAAGGGTAACGCGGTTTGAGGAGATGTAGTGAATCGGGACGCACCGCGGAAGAGCAAGACGAGCTAAGAAACGTGTGGAGTGGACGTTGGGAACCTTGATCGAAGAGTAGTTGTTGAGACAGTGTCCGACTGCGCCGGCATGTATGATCAGGTCAATGGATTCTTGTAAGGTGGCATATTCAGTCTGAGTAAGACCAAGTGATGGATCCTGGAGAGAACCATGGTAGATCACGATCTTGTCGGATACAGGAAGCACATTTTCCTTAGTCTTTGTGGGGACGGCGACACAGTGAACTCGCCGGACACTTGGGTCGTTGATCAACGATTTCAAAATCTCCGCGCCAAGGAAAGAGTACGAGCCAGTCAATAGGACTTCGCGGTTGATGATCTTGATTGGTTTCCCTGTTTTTCTTTGGTGATCGAACAGCATCGAGTCTGGCACAGCTATTTCGACATCCCAGACGATTTCCGGCAGGGACGGTTGCTGCTCCTTCTTTGCGTGAATTCGAGCATTCATGGTACGAAGGGTGCTTGCTTGATAAAGCTCTGTAAGGGAAATGGCGACTCCGAGCATGTTTTTGATTGCTCCTTGCAACTTGACCAGAAGAAGGGAATTACCGCCAACCATGAAGAAGTCAGTATCAGGACCCAGGTCCTGACTCGATGTTGTCTGTTGAAGCACGTCCTTCCACAACAGACTAAGGTGGCCCTCGTCCAGAGTGAGTGTTTCCTGTGAGGAGCTCTGATGGTTTCTGATCGGTATCTCTAGCGATTGGATCGCTTTCCTATCGATTTTGCCATTCGAATTTGTCGGAAGATGCTGCAAAGGCACTATCATGGCCGGCCACATGTACTTTGGTAGTGGGAGCTTCTTTGCAAGGGCCTGTAACTCGCTGTCCCTCATGCTAGCCCCGTTCTTGAAAACAACATGGGCGACCAGGAACTCAGGGTCTCCACGCACAGAGACAATCGCCTCTGATATTGTGTTTGGAGCCACTTGTAGAATCGCACTCTCAATCTCTTGTAGTTCGATCCGTAAACCGCGAAGCTTGATTTGCATATCTCCATCTTTACGACCCATGAAGACCAAGGACCCGTCTGCCAGCAGTCGCCCTTGATCTCCCGTCTTGTACATTCTGTTCCATCCTCTCGCAACATCCTCTGACGATGCAAAGGGATCGCGAACGAACTTTGACTCGGTGAGCTCTGGCAGGTCCAAATAGCCGAGAGCGACGCCCGCACCACCAATGCAGATCTCTCCCGGAAAGCCGACAGGAAGAGGTTTTGCGTTTTCATCAAGGATGTAAACGGAATAGTTTGGCAATGCCTTTCCGACTGAGACGTAATCTTGGACCTCTTCCGATGACAACGAGATCCGTTCAAAGGTTGTGGCCGCTGTGATCTCTGTGGGACCGTAACAGTTCGTTAGGATGATATCTGGATTATCAAGCGAATTGAATTCTCGAATTAGCTGGTCGGTGACAGCCTCTCCACCCATACACACATGTCTCCATGACGAGGAACACTTCCTGAGACTTTCGCCGCCATATCTGAGTAACATAAGATACTCGGACGGCGTTGCAAGGGTGAATGTTACTTTCTCTCTGAGCATGAGTTTGGAAATCTCAACAGGATCCCCTCTGGCCTCTTGGGGAACGACGACGAGTGTGCCCCCATTTCCCAGTGCACAGAATGTCTGAACAATAGACATATCAAAGCCAAATGAACTCTGTTGCATGACGACTTCTTTGCCTAGAGACAGCTCTGTTGTCTTCAAAGCCAAGTGATTGACAAACCCAGCTTGGGTCAGCAAGATTCCCTTGGGAACACCAGTAGATCCGCTTGTATAAAGCAGGAAAGCTGGTGACTTTGCTTGAGCAACATTCGGCACCTCCTGCTGCCGCCTTGCACTGGTAGACAGATCGGAGACATTGATCACCCTTATGTCAGCACGTGAAAGTGCGTGTGCTGCTTCCAGGGTGTCGTTTTGACAGAAAAGTAAACACGGCTTGCAGTGATTGAGAATGGCAGCGTGTCTAGCTGGAGGGAGACTGAGGTCTAGCGGCACGTAGACATTTCCGGTGCGCAGGATAGCCAACATGGCTGCGATCAAGACGGCAGATGGCTGGCAGAGAACCGCAATACGCGATTCTGGAGACAATCCTGAATCAAGAATTGCAGACGCAATGCAGTTAACTAGCTCAACTAGTTCTCCATACGTGACTTCTCCATCGCGATCCCTGATGGCAATGCTATCACCACTCGCTTCACACACCGAATCAAGCTTTGCGGAGAGAGTGTCTGGCCACTCGTATTTGACCCGGGGTCCTGTTCCCAGGCTGATGGCATGCTGAACCTCACGGGAATCAAAAAAAGGACACTCCTGGATTCGCATTGACGGGTTTGAGGACAGTTTCTCAAGCAGATAGATGTAGCTGTCCATCAGCAGCTCGGTCGCATCGATGCTATAGAGATAGGTCTGAGACATGATCTGCAAGAGTCCACCCCCAGTGGACGAATGTGTGATAGCAAAGCACAGGTCGTATGGATTCTTCGCCTCGTCCAGTAAACAATATTCCATCTGACATTCGCCGAGCTCCGTACTCCAGTAATCGGAGACACGATAGTTGGCGACAACCTGGAACAGTGGGCTATGGGTTGAGGAACGAGGGACTCCAAGCTTCTCTAAGATAAGATCGATGGGGATATTTGATCTTTGCAGCGCTTCGAGTACATTCTTCGACGTCTGCTGGGCTAATTGCGAGAATTGACCGTGCCTGTTGATTCGGAATCGGACAGGGAGCAGGTTGAGAAAGAAACCAACTGTCTCAGCAATGCTCTCGTCTGTTCGATTCGCATCTGCAACACCAATGCAAAGGTCTTCAATATCAATGAATCTGGCGACAAGAACCTGCATGACGCTCAGATAGAAATGGAACGGTGTGACACGAAGTACCCGGCTTGCATTTTTGATTTTGGTGACCAGATCACGCCCAATCTCCCTGGTAACCATGTTATTTTCATACCTCTTCATTGGTTTCCGTCCTCGCACCCGAGCTATTGGGAGAAGAGGCATCACCCCTGGCAGGGGCGTGAGTTGATGGTTCCAGAATTCAATCTGTTTATCAAAGTCACCGCGTTCCGCCGCACACCGCTGCTCCACAGCGAAGTCGACGTACTGCTTTGGAGCCGGCTTCATGGGCTGCATCTCATATGCCAGCTTCAGATCACGAAGAAAATAATACCAGCTGACGCCATCGATGGCAATATGGTGATAGCCAAAGATGACCGTATGGAAATCAGGTGCGCGAGAGATAAGTGTCACCTTGAAGGTCCGGCCCTGCTCGAGATCGAAAAAGTGACTCTTGAGGAGTTCGAACTCGTACTCAACATCCCGTGGATTGGCAGACTGAATATATTTCATGGTAGCAGGGGTCGATTTCAATATCTCTTGCATAAGCTCTCCGTTGTCTGGATTGGCAAAGAACCGTGTCTGCAAAGACTGGTGACGGGAAAGGACCATTGATAACGCGATCTGAAATCGGGCAACATCCAGCTTTCCAGATAGATTATACCCAGCGGTAATGTTGTACGCTCGGGGATCTTCGAGATATTTAGCTAGAAACCAGAGGCGGGACTGGGCAAAGGACATCTTTTCCACGCGATTGGGGTCCACATCCTCCGACGATCCAACTCCTAGTGGCAGCTCCTTGAAACTCGTCTGGTGCGAGTTTGTCGTATCGATGCTAGAGACAGAGGCACTCTCATTCGATGGAGACGGAGCGGTGATTTCGTCGAAACTGCTGGTCTCAGACCACGGCTCCTGTTGCTGAGAGGTGCTACTATCTTTTCCCGATTCAAGACCAACCTGGGAGATGGTCATAGTACCTTCACAGCTGTTGTTATTCTCTTTGTTGTCGACTCCATCCACCTCCGCTGGGGGAGAATCCGAGGGACAGTCCGGCCTCGACTTGAGGAATTGCTTCACCGCGTCGTTGCAAAGGGAGGCGACTGTCTCTCCACCTAGAACTCTGAGGACAGGGATATCCACGTGGATCTCCTTGAGGAACCAATTTCTGATTTCAACTGCGAGGAGTGAATCACAGCCCAGTTCCAGGGGAGAGACGTTCGCGTTAACACTGTTAGGAGCCAGCTGCATCATGGATTCCAATTTCAATGAAAACGCCTCCTGGAGAATCTCCTGTGCCTCGACCCCTGAACATGTCTCCTCCAGTCTCTTGCGGATGTGTACGGCCGGGCCACCCTGTTGTTGCTCTTCCGGCTTGTTTTCCTCCTTCAGAATAAGGTGTGAGAAACGCGGGTCGGAATACCAGGGTGGCCTGTGTGGCGCATCGGCAGAGTCCAGGAATGGCACAATTCCTGTAATAATTTCCGGTTGACTGTCTTGTAAGCCCGGACGGCTCGAGAGGATCGCCTCGCCTACCAAGTGATGCACATCAGCCTCGGAAAGTGGAGTATACAACATGTTCTTCAAGTGCTCCTCTATGCGACGGCCAGCTCGAGCAATATATCCAACATCGACAACCATTCCAATATGGATAACAGACCCTGCCAGTCCTCGGGCCCTGCGATTATGAACCAAACTGGTCATAAACATGTTTGCAGCGTGGTAGTTGGTCTGGCCAGCATTACCCACGATGCTAGCGATGGAAGAGAACAAAATAAAAAAGTCGAGCGAGTCATCAGAAAATAAAGCGTCTAGATGCCTCGATCCTTCCACCTTGGGCTTCAGGGTTGCGTTCAAGGAGTCAGCATCCAATGTTCGCAAAGACCTTGTCTGAAAGGACCATGGCAGCATTGCAGACACCCGCAATGGGAGGCATGGTCTCCTTGACATGCTGGTAGACTGAGTTGATTGAAGTCTTATCTGTGACGTCCATCTTCAGCACTTTGATGATTGCGCCTTGACGTCGCATGGCCTCCAGCCAGGCAGGGTTGACCTGGCCGCGACGACTCGTGATGACCAGGTAGCGCGCTCCGTTGGTGACCATCCACCCGCATATGGACAGGCCGAGCTCCTCTGTGGTGCCAACCATGAAATAAGTCTTGTCTGGAGAGAAAAGCCTGGAGGGGTCAAGAGGTTTGATTGCGACGGTCAGCGGACGATTCTGAGTCCAGTCGACCACCGCTGGATACAATATGGCTGAGACAGAGGTCTCTTGCAGATCTTGCACCGGTCGCACGCTCCCCAGACTAGCAATACCGGGCTTATCAGTGCTTGCCGTTGCTGCTGCGTAAGAATCTGCCAGGAGATCATGGCGGGTCCAGCCGTTTTTGAGGTCTTCGGTCCAACAGGCCTTGAAAGTGGTAAAGATGCAGTTGGGAGCCACGCATGACTTGATACTGCGGGCTCCTGGAGCCGAAAAGTCGATCACACACTTCGTGTCAGGAGGCAGATCCTGCCTGATGGCCCGGTCTGTGGCGTAGGGGGCAATCGCGATCCAGCTGCTTGGAGTGTCGGATGTCCTGGACGTCGCGAAGAAGACATTCCGGCCCTCCCAGTGCCTGCTGCTCGCAATGGCCGCGGCCAGCGTCTCCGGGGGCTCGTAGACCACGACTGCACCGGTCGGGGGAAGGCACGACCGCAGAGCGCGTGCAATCAGGTGACTGGCGACCGCTTGCAAGGTCGCGGCTGCCTCGTCCGCCGTCGAGGGCGGTTCGACGACCAACACGTCCTCCGACGCGACATCGACGCTGGAACAGTTCCTTGTGGACAGGACAAGCGCCGTTTTCTTGGTTCCCTGGGCTGCTCCAAGGCACACGAGGGATGGCTCGCCATCTTCGGACGGCAAAGTAGTCGAGTAGCGAACGTCCACCGTGATTTGACCGGGGGAAACGCGACGATTCGTCACCGATCCTGCCTCCATCACGGAAACCGATTCTCCCGACGAAACAATCTCTACACGACATTCGTCTGTGGTCGTCTCCTTCGTAATGCGACGGCGCGAGGCATCCATCGATCGT